CTAATAAGGTCTTCTTTTGAACGGTGATACATTTGGATAATTCATCCCAATCTTCTTCAATTGTTTTTATTACTAGTTCTTTCGGAATGTTGGTGAAAAGGGATATTACATCTAGTGATACCAGTATGTATCCCTCCGGTAACTTTGTTCCCCTTATGAACTCAGCGAATTCGAACGAGTTTTGATGGAAAAAAAAAATTTGTTTGAAATCGCTCTAGTTAAAAGATGTAAAAATTTTGCTACTTTGTAACATGGTAAACCTATTAAACTTACAACTGGTCTCATAGTACATTCTTTTTTATGTGTTTTTCTTAATCCATAAAGTTTAGGTGTTACTGCATTATAAGTTCTTAAGTTTTTTCCCATTCCTTCTGAGATTATCGACTCGWTTTGTAATTTTGTTATTAAATTATAAGCTATTTTTTTAAATTTCTTTGTGGGATTATTAATTAATAAACTGTATGTATTAGTATTTTCCAGTAGTTTCTCCCTTTCTTTTAAATATTCATCTTTTTTCATAATAACTGTGTTGTTTCCTTTGTCTGATCTTGTGACTATTATGTCTGGGTTCTGTTTTAGGAACCGTTTCGTTTTTATGAAATTGTTATTTATTATGTTATTATGCTTATTTAGGCTGTTTTTCTTGAAATAATTCATCATTATGTTCACCGCTTTTATTCTAACGTTGTTCTGCGCGTCCTTAATAGTTTTTTCACCTCCATTTTCTATAGTTAAATTTTTTATGCCATATTCTAGGTTTTTAATTAGTGTGTTTACTTGCACTTCTTTAGGTTTTACTGGGATCCCAAATCCTGGTTCTAGGTTAATAATTTCTTCAACTTCATTCGGAAGCTCTACATCAGTATAATTAAATATAACAGTGTTCTGTTTGTTGTTTATATTATTGTTGGGATATTTTTCATTTATTAAGCTGTTTAATTTTTTTATATTATTGCTTTTTATAATTTTAAATTTGTCTTCATATTTATTGTTGAACCATATTGTGCAATTCCTGTAATCATTCGTTGTGAATTTTTTTATCAAAATGTTAATTGTGTTTTCTATATTATTCTCCAATATCCTAATTTTCCATGCTGTGACCTTTATTTCTTAATTAATTATCTTTTTTTGGAGGAATTTTTTCAAATTGTCCGTTTCTTTTTGAAACGGGGAGGCTTCAATTTGAAGAGCATATAAACATTTTAGATTGTTCAGAATGTGCTTCGGACAAACTTGTTTATGTTTACAATTAAGTAAGAATAACCGTCTGTTTTTAAATGCTGCTAATTTTAACAATTCGGTGAGCCAGGTTTTCATCTGYTTCACGGTAGTTATGTCATAACTATTTTCTATATATCTGAAAACACCCCTCGCATTTTAAAAGTTCATATAATCAAGATTTTTTTTTTTTCTTATCCAAAATTTATTAATATTATTACTAAGTTTACTCTTAGGGAGGTTGTTTTTTCGACGGGTTTAATTAAGATGAACACTATATTTAACCGTGGAACGTTTCGTCTCTATTTGAGAMTTCCTCAGCAACTAAAATTATTTATTATGACATATTATTTTATRTACAAATACCAAAAAGAACTAACAATTCATAGCAGTATTTTACCTTGATAGTTATGTTCATAAGTCAATATAACATCATTTTTATTACAGTCATAAGTTTTCAGTATCTTATATATAGAGCCAATTTTTAAAAAACGTTATTCTACTATAACTTTWMGAAMMMAACTGGTTACCTCTAAGCTGGTGTTTCATAATTTRGCTGTCTTTATTATTATTGTAACCTCTGTTATGTGTCTTGTTATGGTAATTAAATTTTAAAATTTCGTTATACATGCTGTTTAGATTATTGGTATCGGTTCTGAAATTAACTGTATTATTGTTCGTTATATGGTACATTTCACTGATATTTCTTTTGTACCAGTAATCTTCTTTATCTAAAATTTTGGTTTCGTCAAATTTAAAATTATGTCCTGTTTTAAAATGATGTTCCGCCAACGCGGTGGTATTTGTTTTTTGAGTATTCTTCGGTTTGCTATCGTTCCTATGTTGTTCTAATCGTTTTTTTAATTTTTGTTTTGTTTGTCCTATATAACATTTTTCACATTCACATGGTA